CCGTCGACTCTCTTTTTTCCGTCGCTATTCCCGCAACAGAGACGCGATCGCGGCGAGCAAACACCATAATCATAAATCGTCTTGGAAACAGACCGAAGACCGCGGAGCCCTGTAACGTGTAAACGGACAAAACGAGTATCGGCCGTGTGTTCTGCGGTTTATTGGCTTAGCTTTCGATGACTCGTGTTCCTTGAGGCGTCGCCTAGAGTCGAGAAGCCTTAAATTTGCCTCGGTACCTTCGGATTACGTGTTTCGTCTGGTCTAGACGGTCCACCACATGGGGCATTTCTGTTCGCGAATGTCCCTGCACCTGATTCCGAGTGTCGTTTACGGCCCCGGGACCAAAGGTTGCCGCACCGTGTGCACCGCATGCAATTTTCTTCAAAATTCAACGACCCTGCAGCGTTTCACGTGTCGTCCGTAGTTCGAAATTCCACGATCGAAAGATCACTCGATTCAAATAAAATTAGCGAACCGTTAATGTCATTGCTAAATTCTGAAGTTACAAGAATAATCGAGAACGCAATGCAAGATTGTCTCGTAAAAATCGCAGCGATCGTGGATTAATTGTTGCAATATTTTAGCGTGAATTGTCCGGCTAATTGGAGGTGCAGCTGCGACACTGATTAGGGGAAGGCGAGGTACGCTAATCGGGGTTAAGGTGCAGCAACGAGATTCGAGGACTTTTTAACGCTGCGCGCAGTCCGAAGGTTGCGCAATCTTCGAATTGCAACTGTTCCAGACAGATCTCCGTGACATTTCATTTACGATGGTTTAATGACGGTGGTACACAGTCGTTTAATATACAGTCGGCGCATGTGCCAACGATTCAGACAAAATGTCCTCGCGTTTCTTCGCGCACTCTCGCTTTCGCAACGGCCCTGGTCGTCGTTCGAGGAAGCGCGGCAACGAAATTGCACGGAATTAGCCGTTCTTGAATTAAACAGGCGAATCGCTATGGACGGAGAGAGAAAGAGAAAGAGGCAAAGGAAGGGTGGCGAGAACAAAGCGTGTAATGGCACTTGATTCGTTAGAACGCAAGAAGAAAAGTGCCGAGTTGCGTCATCGGAGAAAATAGTCTTTCTGGAACAATGGCACGGAAAGGATCCACGGTTGAAAGAAAGTTAAACGATTAGTCGATAATTGGCTCGGTTAACGGCTGCAATTGCTTCTTCGGAAGGGAGGGAAAATAGTCTCGATCCGTAAATAGGCACGCGGCAATCGAGCGATCGAAACGCACGGCGAACGCGGAAGTCCGAGCCGTAGATTCGATCGTGACGGAAATAAGAATAAAGGATTCAGCTGACTTGCTGAAAAAAGAGGATGCTAGATACCGGATGCCGGGGACAATAGGCCGGAAGAGAGACCGAACGGCTGTTCGATGTTTCTCTTTTCGCCTATCGGGCTCGTACCGATGGAAATTGTTCCATTTTCGGTCGATAAAAACGCGAAAAATTCTGCCACATGTTCGCACCTCCGTGTGGATTTTGCGCTTTCACAGCGAAAGTGTGTAGGTGAAATACAAAGCTATAACAAGAATTTAAATATACTGTCACGTTATTTTTGACATATCGACATGCGCGATTCAATTAAAAAATATATTTTTGTTGAACTTCTGTTTTTCACAGATAACATCGAAACATTTTATTTCGCATAGGGATCCATAGTCTGGCTATAACAAAAATTTGTGGCTGTAATTTCAAACAGTGTAAACTATAGTATTTCCTTTCCCAATCGTTGCTTTCACTTCATGCACACGGTATCGAGCCTAGTTGCTCATACAAGACACACATTTTTAGCATTTTTTTAGATAAATGTAATATCGTTTAAAAAATTATATAAACCACACTGTTGAATGAATTTCTCGGACGAGTTGTTGTCGATCGAGCTTTTTCGGACGAACCCGAAGAAATTCGCGTAGCCGTGGGGTGTTATTTCTGGGGCTCGTTGCTGTCATTCCAGCCCAAGGGATGGCGGAACGATCACCTACCGTTTCCCCATTGAGAATACAATTTTCGCCGGCGGAAAGTTCGACGCGGGGTTGATTTACGACCCGGAAAAACCCCGAAACTCCTGCGGTATCTTTGGTGAAACACTCGGTTTCCGTTTCCCGGGGCCACTCGTGTTTCCTGCTCCCAGTCGAATGCAATTTTCCCGGCGAAATTGAAGTCGCCCTTTATGAAGCTCGCCGGAAAGGTCGCTCGATCCTGGCGGAAGGACGTGTGCCCTCGTTAAGCTTTCCTTCCGTGGCTGCAGTATTTTTCCAGCGCGACTTTTCTCGGCGACAATTGAATCCGGAGAATTCTCGAAAAACGAATTCACATTCGAAAAGAATCGCACCGGCAGGAATGGAATTACAGCGTGACAAAAGTTTACACGAACGAACACGTAATTTCACCGAGAACCGGAAGAATCGGGGAATTTCTTGATCCGAGACACGTTTATTTATTTACTAATTTATTTATTTATTTATTTACTGGCGAAAGATCAGAGGGAAAATTTATGCCAAACTCACGAATATACAGATAAATTAAAAGACGGATTGTTCTCCGTACACCAAAGATCTGGGCTTCGAAGATCGAAGAGCTTAAGTCGAAGAGTTTTCGAATTCATCGACGCATAAAATTTCAAGCTTGTTTTATTCAGCGTTTCGAGATGGAAAGCATGCGACTCGGTGCATTCCGGCCTGACAATTAGAGATGCATGCGAGGCTCGCATTCAGCGAGCCAGTTTCTAGGACCGTATAGTACATGGGGGTAACTCTCTTAATTAGGACGGGTTATGTCTCCTTAGTGAAAAGTAGAGAAAAAGCTGCAGGGAGAAGAAAGTTGAATGGCACGAGGAGCTGCGTAGATTTGTTTCCAAGTGCTTACGCGGTTTTTTTGTTTCGGAAGTCGGTCCACGGAGAATTAGAACCTGTACAGTTATTTAACATCTTTATTATTATTTTTATTACGTTCATTTATTATTCTTTACTTATTATTATCTTTTGCTTATTATCATTTATTTATTTCAAAAGAGAAATGCCAGCGTCTAGAACAGATTTCTTCGCAATATGCTTGGCAGTCAATATGTTAACATCTTGCAAAATCATCTAGACGCGAGTAAGAAAATTCTCACACGTACATATTTCCTAAAAATATCGACGGATACTCGAGGATTCGAGGCGCAGCATCATTAAAGAGCCCGTCGTCGCCTTGAAATTAATTGGATAATTCTCGCGAAAACTCGCAGTCGAGACGATATTTCCCCGACATTCGAAGCACAGCTCTATAGAAAATCTGCTCGTTCACAATACTGCAGCGGCCATTTGGTACGTTGCCGTTAGGTCGGCGTATTTATTGTCGTTCGGCGACAGCCTAATATTCGTCGGCGAGCATTATGTTTAACGAACGAGGTCCAGAATTCCGCGACCGGTAATCGTCGTTATCCATAAAACGCGGCAGCCTGGAAGGAGAGATTAATCGTGTGCCGCGAAACTGGAATACGTTGCCGGCGGATTTGCATGCGCACTCGTTAGTCCGGCCACTCTTTGCCAAGGTTACCGATCCTCCGACGTCCCTACTTTTTCCTTTTCCTTAACGAGCTTTTCGTATAATAAAGTATCCTCTGCGCTTAATTGTCCGCTATAACGCCGCTTATCTCGATCGATTAATCGCTCCGCCCTTCTGCTTCATATTTAAGCCGGTTCTCAGAAGTGTTCATTGCTAAAACGTTAATCTTTATTAAAACATTGTTGCGACTTGATTCTATTCATTGGGATAAAAGCGGCTACTTCTTTTTTAAATGAAGAACAATGGAGAAGTAGCAAGCTTCCATTGTACAATTTTACGATGTTTTCTCGAGAGAGCTGCGGAAAATATTTTAGAAACGGAACTTTCGTTCATAATTGGAAGTTATCGGTCCGAGGATTTTTCTGCGACGTTTCCCAATCTTCCTCCGGTCGGCAGCGTTTTTCTCTAATTCCTCTCCAGAACTCCACCCACCGACCGATCCTCAGACTCGATCCAAAGTCTCCGGGACGCAGGACTGGTTCCTCGAGAAGCTATCGATCTGAAGGTTCGACCGTCGCCACAAAGAACAACGCGAGAGAAAGACCGAGGGAGGAGAGAGAGCCTCTCGTCGCGTTCGGATTCAGTAGTTTTCGAGCCTGCTTGATCTTCCAACGATCTTTTCCGTGGCCATTATAGATCGAAGAGAGTTTCAGGATCGCTTCGCGATGGCTCCGGGCGGCTCACCTGGCGGTTTCGTGCACGATCCCTGTATCGGAACCCTCGTCGTGGACCGTTTAAGAGCCCTTCTGCGAATCCTCTACCAGGAATTAGGAACGAAGGACGCGATATTTCACGCCGACGTAATCATAAATTTGGTCGACGCGTACGGCGAATCGGAAGCCGAGCAGCTGAAAGAAATCGGCAGACTCTCGGGTCGGGATGGCCGACGTCTTGGAATTAAGAGACAATATTCTTCTCGATGTTCTGTTCAAATAAATCGATTTTAACATTGAAACGATAGCTTCTTAACGTTGGAACAATTTCTTCTTAACAGCGAAACAGTATCTTCTTAACAGTGAAACAATATCTTCTCAGCGATGCGTTCAGACAACGATATTGATCTTAGCTTTGTACATCAACATTTTATTTAGCAAACGTATTATAATTGGACGGCGGATCTTTATCCGAAATAAAAATTGCATAAAACAAGAATTAAATAAGTATATATCCTTTCCACAGTTTCTTAGTAAATTGTAAACGATGTAACGATATCGCCATAAACGTACAAAATCTGCGGTCCAATTACAATATTCTATAACGATTAGTTTAGCGACGAGGGTTGATTTCGAGATGGTTGACATCGTCGAGAAACTTGTCCGCCCAAAGGCTCGATGTCAGGGCTCGCGGACCGGATCCGGACAGTCGGCAAAAAGGGGTTCGCGAAAAATCGTCAGATAATCGGCAGACAGAGCGGCATCGATAACGCGTTTCTCCTTTCATTTTCAGCCGGTGTGGTGGTGATCGTGGCCTCGAAGCGAGTCCTTTTACGGCGGGGACGAGCATCGAAAGCGGAGACAGCCAGCCTCCCTCCTCTTCTCCTCTCTTGCTCTCTTGCTCTCTCCCACCGTCCGCGACTTTGGCCCAGAGACACGAAAGGCACCCGGCCCGACGAACCAACAACTACGAGAAACAAGAAGAAGAAACGTCTCGGAACGGCAGGTACAGCGCCAGCATGGAATAAAGGGACGCCGCGGGATCATAAACCGAGAGGATTCGGAGGAAGGGCATTCTCTTTCTTGGCCCTGGATAGTAGGGTCAGGTAGAGCCACGAATGAAATGAACCGGCCTGGAGAAATAGAAACCACGAGAGGTAAATAGCGGGAGGGAAAGTTGGTGCAGAGGTGGGAATCCTGAAGCGGTGAGAAAATTTCGGGTGTTGGAGAATATAGAAATTTGGTGGTTCGGTTGTAGGAACAAGAGTCTCCTGGACAAATAGATAAGAAGAGAGACCTGGAAGAAATTTGAGCGCTGGAGAATATATACAACCAAGGATTCCTCTGAACGAACAAAAGTCAACTGGAGGCGTTCAAAATAGACGAGCACCTCGAAGACACACCCCATGGAAACTAAGGCGCCAAGGAGGATAGGAAATTAATGATCGATTGGTACGTCTGAACCTGCGAGAGTCTCTTCGGACGATAAATCGAGACGATAGAGAATCTAATCTAAAGAGAGTCTCTGCAGAGAGAGAGAGAGAGAGAGAGAGAGAGAAAGAGACTCCCTGAAGAGACAAGAGACAGCTCGAGACGGGTAATTCAAGGAGCGTATAAAGAAAAACGTCGACTGGCAAGAATGAAGAAATAGGACACCTGAAAGGAGATCTGGAATGGTTCCTAGGAAGAAAGATAGAGGAAGAGATTAAGAAGAATTGAGACGGATAGCGACCCTGTCGATAAACCGATGAGGAGGACAGCATTCGAGAGAGGGTTAGAGAGGAATGAAAGCTTGAGAGAACAGAACTGTGGAAAGGATAAGAAATTGTAAAGGAGAGGGAAGCAGGGATAGAGAAATTGATTGAGCATTCGAGAGAGTATTTGAGAAGAATGGAAGCTAGAAGATAGGGAGAGAAGGGAAGAGGAACTTTGGGAAAGGATAAGGAATCGCGAAAGAGAGGGAACTCGTGTAATAAAAATTGATTAGAGAACGTGGAAAAGGCGTCGATATTAAGGGGCTGCGAAAGGAGAGGGGCTAAATGCCTGATAAACGGACGATAAAGGTGGAAGAGGTCTAAGAGGGAGAGGAATGGGTGCCGGGATGGGCAGGAGCGGGACGAGCGGCGGGTTCCTCGAGGCACTTCCTACGGGAACGCCGCTCCACGTGGCCATGCTCGGCCTCGACAGCGCCGGCAAAACGACGGCGTTGTATCGGCTAAAGTTCGACCAATACCTAAACACCGTGCCCACCATCGGTTTCAACTGCGAGAGAATCCGCGGCGGCATCGGCAAAGCGAAAGGTATAACTCCTTAACTTCATAACACAGCGACCTAGCCTTCTTAATTTTCGCAGAGAAATGAAAATCTCGTAGTCCATAAGAAGCCTCGAATCGCGGTAATTGTTCAATCGATAGCTTTCTTGCTTAAAGCCGTTTGCTCCGGAAAAGCCGTAGCCGTATGAAATAATTGAAATATACGAAATGGATTCGAATCTGATCACAGGGCATCCTTTGTCTGTCGCAGGTGTGAATTTCCTCGTGTGGGACGTGGGAGGCCAGGAGAAGTTACGGCCTTTGTGGAAATCGTACACTCGATGCACGGACGGGATCATCTTCGTGGTGGACTCCTGCGATGCCGAGCGACTCGAGGAAGCGAAGATGGAGCTGACCAGGACAGCCAGAAGTCCGGACAACGCCGGCGTGCCTATCCTGATCCTGGCCAATAAGCAGGACTTGCCAGGTAAGACGAGAACTCGTCGCGCGCGTCCACCTTTCCTAGAAACTAATCAGCTTTGCTAGAAATATAGAAATCGAACAATATCTCGGGCCTAGATTATTCGAGCAACGATTCGGCGGTCTAGCATAGATTTCACCTAGGAAATTCCGGTTAAATGATTCCGATGAATGATCACTGGAAGATAGAGAATCGCCTTTGAAGTCTTAAGAATGTGCAGGATCAAGTGGCCGAGAAAACACTGTCGTATCGGTTCGAGGCGTACGGCTTCGCGTCGGAAGTCTGCAAATGCACTTGACCGAGATTTATAGTGGAACATGTTTAGATTCTAGATCAGGCGCTCTTCATCCTCTCGACGGGCTGCTGCTTCTAATAACGTTGAAAGAAAGCTATCGTAGAAAAATTAAAATCTGATCTCGTTCGAGCACGGTCCGTCGAATCGAGGTGTTCTACGACCCGCGTTGCATAACTTGCACCGTCGATTGAACTTTTCCGACACCGGTGCATAAATCTTGTTTACAGTTAACTCGTATTGTGAATCTGCTTCTGCAATTTCCTCTTTATCCATAAACCTTGCTAAGCGCATCAGGAATCCACGAGAATCCTCCTCCGTTCATCCTCATTCTGGACAACAGTCGCTTAGTCGCCAACTAAATTACATGTTAAATCGCACCAGGTCCTTAAATAGGCAATTTTTGGAACTTTATCATCGAAGAACCAAGTCTCGAATCGTTCGCTCCTAGAGACAAAGACCCAGAAGACCTCGAAAGTCTCCCATTCCCGACACACGAACAGATACCAAGAAGATCCTCCAATCATAAAGTCTCCAACTCTTGGCTCGCGAAGACAGAGTCCAAGAAGATCCCAAAAGCCTCCACTTCCTGGCGCGAGAAGTCGCTGCACCAACATCCTCCAGCCATCATCTATCAAGTCCCCGCGAGGACGTATCTAGTTTCCAGGACTGACGAAGCGGTGGTTTCGCGTGCCCACAGGTGCGAAAGAGGTCGGTGAGTTGGAGAAGCACCTGGGGGTCTTGGAGCTGGCAGGGATGCCGGGTAGCGCGTGCATCCGAGTGCAGCCGGCGTGCGCGATCACCGGCGAGGGCCTGCACGAGGGCCTGGACACGTTGTACCAGCTGATCCTGAAGCGACGTAAGCTGGCGAAGCTGAACAGGAAGCGGGCCAGGTAGGCCAGGGCCTCGGAGGACTGCACATGCGTCTTCTGATATTGTCAGTCGCGGACAGTCTCTCCTTTGGCGCCAGCTACGCCTTCCACGGTGTCTTCGTCCTCGTCCACTTCGGCGTCGCGCGATGCCGGCGTCCGGGAGGAGCTCGAGTGAGAGTACGCGAGGCATCGTCTTCTTCGAAGAAACGTCGAGCCGAGGATCGACGATTAAGTTTCCGTCGGCGCTGTGACGGATCGTGTCACCGGACATCACCAGCCGGCGGACTCTCGATCGTTGACGGATCCTCCGAGCAAGGTCTCTCCCGAGGCGGAGACCGATCGAGGAGAAGCTTGTCATTGGAGAAACAGTTCTTCCAAAGAGTAGACGAATCATCCGGTCTTTTTCGAGATCGATCCTGAAAAGCTTCCGAAGGGAAGCGGGGGTCAACGGTTTCCGGATACTGTGTTGTTCCCCGAGAACGACAACGAAACGAGTGCTTCTTCGACGCGTTCACGCGAAAAGCTCTGTTTCGTCGGACTTCCTTTTCGACGAAGATGTTACACGGAGTCTGTCGTCGTCGACGAAACGAGACCGGCCGCGAGAATCGGACGCCTATTTTGCTGCCCCGGGAACGGGTCAGCGGGCAGGTCTTGCGATAACGACGGCTCCGTCGCTGATACAGATTACGTGGCTCGTATTAATAACAATGACGGGTCCCGCGCACGAACATCTGCGTCTATGGTAATCGGAGCGACGTCCCGAGCCGGGGATAAGCTTCTTGAGCGATCGTTGGCGACGCGACTGGGCGGAAAGATTCGCGCGAGCAACGAGCCAAAGAGAAACCGGCCGATAAGAGCCACCGCTTTTCACAATTCGCGTTCGTTTAATTGTACACGTGTCTAGACGGCTGTTTAAACAAAGGGATTCGGGACACTCGTTTGCCTGTCGTTTTTGCCCGAGATAAGAACTGCCTTGGATCCTCTTATCTCGATCTTGACTAATTGACTAAGCCCTCCAGCCCTGTTTCATTTAAACCCGACCCAATTCTCGCTAAGTTCACAACCTACTTTCGTGCTTTCGAAACTCGCAATTTCAAACGATCGATAATAGCAATTGATTTCGACGAAAGAAACGAAAGCCGGTCGCCGGAGTCGCTCAAAAGGTTTTTCCTCGATCGCCGATGGTCCCTGGACGAGCATACTCGTTCAGGCTACGGGGATCGTCTCTCCGCGTCAATAAATCTCAAACAATCATGGTAATCGATCCTGTATCGAACTAGGCGAACTCGTAGATATGTCGAGGTGGGATCGCGGACCTAGGAGTCCCGGCGACGATCGTGCCTCTCCGGATTTTTGCACCTTTATACGTTGTAAACGCGATGAAGAGCGACGCGTCAGGGCGTCCTGTCGCGTCGCGTACCTCCCCTCCCCCCCCACCGTGTAAAACCGATTTTTGTAAAAAGATGTGATAAAGAACGCCCCCCTCGTAAGCTCTGTAGCGTCGCGTAAAAAACCGCGTGTCGCCCGCGACAATTCTCGACGTCTTGTTAACTGCGACGGACTAATCACCGTCTTATCTAATTACCGTCGAGACTCGTCGGAGCAGCGTTCACGCGCGCCTGTATATTTGTACTCGTTGTCTGTCGTGGTATTTAACAGGGGAAGGGGACAGCAGCTCCCACGGGAAGCGAACCGATCGTTTTGAGCTTCGGAATCATACATATCTCGAGAAAGTCGCATGGTGCTGCTCTCGATGATCGCTGGATCGTGATACACGAGGATGATATCGTTTGTCTTTAGGATAGATCAAAGTATTTCGTTGAGTTTTCGCGGGTTGTTACACGCGTTTCGGAAATTTACGCGGCTTTCGAGTGTTGTTGTTCGACGTAATTGTTGCGTTTCGTTCGCGGAAGTTTGGCCGGGTTCCGCGTTACAGCCTCGAAAGTCTAGGGTTAAATTGGTAAGAATAGTCTTTCGTTTGCGGAGGTTTGACTTCAGTGCCGTTTCATGCGAATTTCGAAGAGGATGACGTTTGTCGAAATGCAATGGGCACACGATGTTTTGTTTGACAAATTTTATAGGTAGCCGCATTTTATACCGGAGCGCCGGTTTGAAGATTCCTAAACGATGATGTTTCGTTCGACGACGTTCAAAAGGCGCAATGTTTTGTTTGAGAAATTTTGCGGGAGGTATCGTTTTTTATGAAATAATTATTAGAGACGATCTTTTGTTTGAGAGAGTTTGACGAAATTGTATTGGGACGAGCGAGTGGCTTCGAGGAGTATAAAATTGTTTCAGTTTGAGCTTGACGATAATTTCGGCTAGTTTTTGAATAGCGATGATCGATCGTCGATCTCGCGGTAGCTTGAACTACGGAAACCGGCTCAAAACGGTGTGCGCTCGCGGTTCTTGCCAGTGTTTACCGAAGCCCCTCGGTAACACTGACACTTCCGGTAACGAGTAGCTCTTATCGACCAGCAGCTTGTCAGACAATATTCCCGGTTTCTGATTCCTTTTCCCGAAGCTGTGCCGTTCCCGTGTGCGTAACGATCGACGCGTGGAACGCACTCGAGACTGTCGAGACGGCTCTTCACCGTTTCGAGTGCGTTCCGCGGGTTAGACACGTGGGAACGCGGCTTAATGGAACTCGAAATCGTTGTCCGTGCGACCGACTATCGTTATCTGTTCGTTCAGGTGGCTCTCTGCTTGCTCTCCTTGATCCGGAAAGGGGAGATTACCGATTGCAAACGGAAACTCGGCTCGCCATCGATAATTCGCGAGTCCGCTAGGGAGTACATCTCTAAGCATATCATTCGTCTTTCCGCGAAATCGAAGGTAGCAATTTGACGAACAAAAAGATTGCACGAGAACAGTGATCGTTTCCGACTGAATAAATCATTTTTTGCAAGAACGAGAGGAATCTGTGAAACGATCGGAGAGGAGTGAATCGATTAATTGTCGTTAGGGTGCAAGGGAAAAATGCGCGAAGTTAATGGGGGCGAAATGATCGATCGGCTCCGATGAGAAACGTGAGCCAGGAATTTCTGAAACGGTCGAAGACGAAACGATCGATCAATTTTTGTTTGACGATAGCGTCAAGTGAATGGAATTTAACGATTTCAGTAACGGGAACTTCAATGAGCGCACAAGTCTGTCGTTGTTTCGAGTCGGAGACGCGCGAGGACTCGAATAAAGGATGCTGGAATAGCCATGAGTGAGTCATTGTACGAAACGTATCACCATGAACGGTGTCGATGAGTCATTAAAACCCTTGGCGAGGTTGAAGGGACTTGTCACCTATGCGAGCTCCAGTAGCACCACGGCCCCTTTAAATCGTTTCACTATTTGCACTCGATTAATTGGTTGAGCGGAATCATTTATTCCTCATTGAATTCTTTATTTCTAGTCAGAAAAGGTGTAGCATTAGTTGTATCAATGAATTATCATTCGATTAGAGAATCGATACCTTAAATAATCCTTGTTAAAAATTCCATAAAATCAAAGCAAAATTTATTTTACCAAATCGAGTTGTAAAATCGATTCCTCTCTCTTTCTAACCGCAATTAATACACGAACAAACCAAACGATCGATCGCTGTGTTAAAATCATGTTTCCGTGACGCGTTTAAAAAGATTGCAGGGTTCTTTTAATTTTCGGGAATCTCGAATTAAATGCTGGAAATAAGAGCTGCTCGTCCCGATCGAAAGCAGCTGTACCGCGAGGATTGTTCCACTTCCGTTCGCCTAATCGCGAAAAGCGAGAAGCCTCTTGTTCAAGCTTCGATTTCGTTCAGCGTTCTCGTGGCCGACCCTCCTCGCACTTCCCTGCGGACTGCAACTCTCCCCAGATAAGCAAATCTCATTCGGATCCGATATAAAACAACCCAGATACCGAGATCGATCTTCCAGACGTCCGTCGGAACGTCTCTCAACGAAAGCACATTGCGCATCGCTTCGCCGTCGATTCCCCGAAGATACAACATCGTTTAATTAAAGTATCCAAGTAGAACGACGGTACCGAAGCAAACAAGCAGAAATAAACCGGACGAGGAACGATGCAAACGGTCCGCGCGTATTCCGTCTGATGTCCACGTTGAAACTTTTCGAACGTAGCAAAACTCCTAACAAAGATAGAAACTTCCGAAAATAAACGACCTAAATCGTTTTCCACGTCTCTGATCGGGGTTGGGGACAATCAGGATTTATTTTAATCTCTGTCCTCTAAATTTAATCGGATCCGGTTTGCTGCAGACACCGAAAGATCCGAGAAAGTGCTTCCAGAAAGTAACCACCGAGAGGACGCGTCCTAGAATGTTCTGAACGAGTTAGGGGAGCATACAAAATTCGATCTCCGTTCTCCAAATTGAATTAACTTCGAGGAAAGTTCTTTCATAAGGACAGAGAGAAATCGCCAAGAAGAGATCGAACATATTTTACTGCTAAATTTGTTCGCCGAGGAACCCGAAGCGGACCGAAGTTCTTCCATGAAAAATCTGCGAAAGAAACGAACTTCCAGAAACGAAGGAAATATTCGGAGTTTCCCTCCAGGTGGAGTAGAAACAGACCTGACCGGAGAAGAAAAATAACAGAATTAATAATTAATAGGGCAAGTTCGCCCGAGGGTTCTGGAAGTTTTCGGCCTCGGACAAGGAAATTCCGAGTTTTCGTTCGAACTGTCGAAGAAGCCGCAAACAATTTTCATTAAAGAATTGTCCCCTATCGGAGGGGGGCAAGAAGAATCGGCAAGGAAAATTGTAGCCGCCCGGGGCTGGCGAAGTTTTTCGCGGAGAAGTCGCTGCGGGGAGCAGTCGGACTCGATGTTTACCGGCGAGACGCGAGAATCGATATTTAATTCGAGAGACAGGGGAACGGAGACCGGAAGTCGCGGTCTGCGGCGAACGATATACGCGTTTGTTGTCCGGAAGTGACGACGGTCTGTCTCGTGACGGCGGTCGCCGCGAAATCCGGAAGCGAGGAAAAAACGCGGGAGAGCGGAGTGATTTAAATTTCTCCGGAGAAAAACGCTGTATCGAGTTGCCAGGATTTGGTGAATGCGTGATTTCTATTCTGTTCGATCTATGGCTCATTGAAATCACGACAAAGAATTCAATCTTGATAATTTACCTACTAAAAGTCAATTAAGATTTCAAATTTAATTTCCGTCATCTCTTTCCCAATGTATCTTGATAAAAATGCAAGAAGGATTAAGAAGCACTCGGTATGTTGTTTAAATTGCAGAAGTTGCGTTAGAAGGATTCCCGAATGGCTGTGTTACACGGAAAAGAAGTTTGCAAATGTTTTAAGCCAATAATAGCTGCCCAATGAATCCTAAATACACTCACCGAAACGATACGATTGTTATCCGTGGTTTTATCATCGAGAACAAGTCGCGATCAGCAAACTTCCCGGTCACGAAGGACCGGTTGTAAAGCCACATCAGAATTAGCCTCGCGGAGAAAAATAGCACTTAGAAGATGCAAATGAGGTCTCGAAGAAGCAGGGAATCGATAAAAGCACAGCGAGTGAGTCAGAGTACAGGTGCGATTCCTTGAGCGGGTCACGCGATTTTTGAATATTCAGGGAAACCGGTGCCAGCGACGGGGGTAACCCGGTCGTTTCTATGGGAAATTCGATCGACCGAGAGAAAATGTGGGGGCGGTTCGTGTCACCGTCGGTCGACGTGCAGAAGGCGTGCAGAACGAGGATCGAGGAAATAAAGATGCGGCAGCGAGCCGTGAAACGAAACGACCGCGTCCCTGGAAACGGGAAACGATGATGGCCGATGGCCCGTGTTATCAGATAGCGGCAAAGTGATATTTCTAGCGCCCAAGGAAGACTCGCGGAGCCACGGAATTCTTTTACTGGCAGCTCGCGACACGTTCCCTGGAAAATGCAACGATCGCGAGCATTCCAGCCGATTACAAAATGTCTCGACCACTGGTAACGCTTCGGTTTTCTTCTGGAATTTCTGCGGCCAATTCTGTACAAGTGTTTCGAACTTCGAAAAGGTTTCTAATCGCCTTACAGCACTTCTCCGATTAGGAGAAAAGTTTCGAGAGGATGTTTTCTTCGAAACGCTGAAACGGTAGGTGGTCTTTGGATGTCTTTCGTGGAATACTGAAACGTGTCGTATCGGGAAAAATCTTTCTGGCCTTTCTTGGAACAGTTTTCGACGACAGATTTTATAATGATTTTTTAACCGGGCCCCTCGGATCGCTGGCGAAGATCAAGGTGAACTTGTTGTTCCAAACTGAGATTTCAACAACCAAGTAAGACAAATTAACCCTACAACGTTGGCTCCGGCGTGAAAAATATCCAGTGTCCAAAACGCCTAAACGAACAATTTTCGTTGCCGAGGAGGATCCGGTTGCGCAACGCCTCTTGAATAATTATCGGGGGAAAAAGAAACTAGGACCGGAACTGCTGTGTGCCATAACTCGACGCCAGATGAAAACTTTTTAAGAACGCGAAACTCGCAAGCGTGAGAAGCCTTCTGAATTGCAAAGGAAACAATGGCCTGGACTTTACACATTTCTCTGCGCGGATACTCCTCTGGTTTTATCAAACAGGTGCTTCCAGGAATGCTGATTTAAATCGGCACTATTTTCGCAGTCCTGGTCAGAAAAAGAGAAAGAGAGACTCCTCGTTTACATGGCAAACAGGACGAAACACGTGAAATGGAACCTGTTCCCTTCACACTTGGCGACTTCTTCGGACACGCTTCCTGGCGTTTAAGCACGTTTGCGGAGTGACCAGAGATTTATCGCTTCCTACATCTTCGATCGCGAGCACCGTTGTGCTATCTTGCGATCCTGATTCGATCCGCTTGTACGTCGATGGCTGTAATCGTTTAATATCGACGAGACTTTACAACGTTTTAAAACAATTATTTATGAACGATAATATTCTCGTTTCTTTCTAGACGGAATAAGAAATCAACTATGGATCGCGCGATGCACGGTAACTGATTAATATTTCAGAAATTACTCAGAGTTATCGGAAGTTTAACTATTCTACGGTTTTCGTAGAATCTTAGGATATATAGATTCGACTGAAAATATGCGCTACAATAGGATGCAGAACTTCTATAAAACAATACAAAAATTGTGCCACCTGTTTCATTTACTTTCGCAGCGGATGCAGAACGCAAGATTGGTCGGGTTCCTCGTCCGAGAGTTAAGCTAGGTACACACCGGCAGGACCAATATCCTTGACTTCCCGAAAAATTCGAGCCGCGATCATAATTCAGGACCGCCGGGGGTTTGCTATTCAAAGTGGCCTCCGGTTTACCCCCGTCGGGGATTGGAATATCCTGCAGGACGAACATCCTGAACGGGCCGAACGTCCTCTCGCAGGCTGATCAAACAGAAGGCTCTCTCCTCTCGTCCTAGTTGCAGCTTCGCGTCGCCTTAACCCAGTTCCTCCTAACTTCCGGCGGCACCGATCGCCGCTACCGACGGCTTAATTACCCCGGGCTTCTAATTAGCGTGTCCTGGACCATCCGGCGACGACGTGTTCGAAGGGCGACGAGAACGCTCGGCGAGATTTCGCTTGTACAGGTGCGGCGGCAGCTAACGAAAAAGCCTGAGAAAGAGAGAAATGCGGGGAACGCGGATTTCTAACGACTATAATGAGTGACGATGCTAGTCGACCCGAGAATCATTGAGAAATAGAGGGATGGGAGAAGGAGGATATGCGAGAGTTAGGATGACGAGTACGTGTAGCGTACGCCAAATTGAACTTTATACTGTAAGGACACTTTGTAAATAGGTAACCAGGCTGTAAGTCTTGCTGCGTCTCTGTCCGGCGATGGAAAACCGTCGACGATCGTTGGGAGAAGTTTTAATGGAATTTCGGAGCTGTTGCGTTCATTTTCACGGGAGCCTTCTCCCTGGACGAGTAAGTTTGTTAAATTGTCGGGGAACTCGTCGAACGATCCGCGATTCTCGCGATAGATCGTTATCGTTCGTGTCGACGCATCGAGTTGTTCGGAAAGTTTGCTGCTGAACGCAAACAATCGGAAACACTTTTACATTCGACTCTGATCGGTGCGAAGATAACCATCGAATAAATTATTCGTTTGTCAGCTCGCAACATTCCGGACAATCCAGTGATTAAAAATGCTTTGTTGAATTTTCCTCCGACGATGGAGTAAGGGGGGTGAAAGGAGCTTTGTTAAGTATCGCCGGAGAATTCACGAAAACGAGGCGAAAAAAGAGCGAAAGCCGGTCTCGTGTTTAACGAATGGAATTCGCGGTGTAGGAAATTGAAACGATTCGAACGGCCGGAGTTATGCCGTTCGATAGGAAATTGAGATTTTCGCCGACGGTTTTCCAGGCTCGGAGAGGACCGAACAATATCTGTCGAACATGGTTGTTGTTTTTATATCGACTGTCGTTCAAAATTCTATTGTACACTATAATACTTGCCCTTGTTGTGTTTTATTATCATTCAATATTTTATCTCGTGCTTCGATCGATAGATTACGATATTTATGTATTATACGTACCGCTAATCCCATAGCGAATGAACGAGAGGGAGAGCATGTGAGGATGGAACGGTTTGTAAAGATTTGTAACGAGTGTTTGCAGAAGAGAAGGGAGAAGACGGGGGGAGACAGGATGCAGGAACGAGTCACGTTTTTACCGTGAAAACGAGAGAACAATTATTATACATTGTCGTTCGTCCTCGCGCCGCTTCGATATTCGTATATTTATGTAGTAGGCTCTCGTCGCCGATTTCTTGTGTATATGCGCGCGCGCGCGCGCGCGTTGTATGCACTCGTGTTGTACGCCCGTCGTCGTAGCTGCAGCCAAGTGGATGTCGCATTAAACAAAAATCCGGGACGAGCTCTCTCGTTCCGACAGACTGAATGGATCCTTTTTCGACTGTGAGCGAGGATTTTTTTTCTCCAAATAAATCAGCTAATTCCGTTATGTTTTAATTGGACGTTTGTTTGTGCTCCGACCTTTCTCCACGATCCAGAGATCCCTGCCTCCGGGCGACAACCACCTTTTGTCGCGAATTCGCCGTGCCACGTTTTTCCGTCTGCCTAACGAACGACCGCTTTTCTCTGCAATCAACGAGCAAATCAGCCCAGCCTATATACACGAATGCTACTCATCCACTCGACGGGAACAGTCGGTTAAATCTGTACTCGAACGCTGTTCGGTAAATTGGTCAGCCTGTAATGACCAAGAAAATTGTTCCATCTACTCGAACGTTATACAAACGACCCCGGTTAATCTATAATCGGTAATCGTCGAGCAAATTATCCAGACCGGAACACTGTACTGAAACGCGAACGAACCTCCCCACAGACTGACATTCAAGACCACCGTCCCGAAATATTGAATTCCTGTTGCACCAAGACGAGCCGCATGCTACTTGACACTGGAACCGTTCTACCAACCACGCGGAACAGCCCCTTAATCATCGGTTCGATCCGGAGCCGGTGAACCCGCAAACGTTTATGCGAATCATGCCTTGAAAATAGTAGAATCCCGAAGGCGGAAGCTCGTTGATTACCCCCGGCCAATTACCCCGGTGAAAGACGTACCGAAACCCGGCATTCCCGTGCAGCACGAGCCTGATTCCCTGGTTCGGCTGTCTCTCTATCTCCCTGTCTCTCTTCCTCTCTCCCCTCGGACCTTGAAATTACCTTCATCCGGCCAATAACAATCGGTCGGCGCGGTGCGTCGCGTCGTGCGCGGACCGTTTCCACCTCCTCCGGTCTGTCGTCGTCGGCCGTCGGGGCTACTTATTCATGCGGATCAGCCCGCACGAGCGACGTCGCCGAGGAAAAAGGCGAAGGAACAACGGGAAATGGGGGGAGGACGAGAGACAGCCGGCGGTTATTGTTCCCAACAGGATCGGATAGACGCGGCGGCACGTGGCCATTTGCGCGGTGCACGCACCGCAAACGCGAGCACGTCTCGATCGCGAGGGACTCATCCTCGATCGTCGAGGATCGTCGATCCCGGAGCCGGAGGGGAACGAGAAAGAGGATCGCTATTGAACGGGAGCAGAAACTCTCCCGAAGCGGTCGGATCCCGTCGATCGGACATCCCGAAGGCTGGCCAGCCGACTGGAAGAAGTCCCGAGCCGACCAGCCAACCTGGGAACTCTCCCGCCGTTTGAATAATTCATCGCCTGTACGCTCTTTCTCTCTATAAATACGCTTCGATGATCTTTTTGCTACCGCATGGCCTTTTCTAGCTTATGAAAGAGATATGGAACAGTGGGTACGCTTATTTCAGATCTTCGATGGGCTGCGCAACCGAGCGACTTCGAAGAGAAGCGTCTGGTAATCGGGCTGTTGGGAAATCGAGACCGATCCTCGATACCCGAAGAGTCTGCGGGCCTTGCTTCTCTGCTGCCAGGATCTCTTCTGGGCTTCTTTGTTGCGTGGAAGTAAGAACTCGTGTGCTGTGGAAGGTAGAATCAACGGGAGAAAGTAGGGCGACGGATTTTTATCCGGAGCATGGATTTTAGATTTACCCGAGGCGAGTTTGTTTAGAAATTTTCTGGACCTCGGAAGCATGATCGGTGACCCTTGCTCGCCGTTCCAAGAGAATTGGACTGCCATGATCAGACAAGTCCCATGAGAGTAATCATTTAATCGTCGCTGTGGTTTTATTTAGGAACGCAGAATGTGGAATTTTTATTTATTTAAATTATCTTAGAGCCAGTAGAATGGGACAACCATGGTCAAACAAGTCCAACAAACATAACCATTGAATCACCAATGTCAAAGAGAAATGCGGTAGAATAGAATTTTTCGCTGAATCTGCGAAGAAAGATTTCCAGTAGAATCGACGAACCACGGTCAGACGAACTTCTAGTGCATCGATCGTCCTAGAGAACAGCAGAGCCTTTAGAACTAAACGCTCGAAGACTTTCTCAGGAACCGAGAAGGTGCTTCAGCGAAACTTCGCCAGAACAAATGAACCAGAGAACAGTCGTTCAACACCTTGTTAATGCATTCACAGTCCCACGATCCACATACGCGGCGCAATGTTACCACAGAAAAAGTTTCTAAATCGTAGAACAAACACTGCCGACTCGATCGATCGAGAAACCAATGTACGATTTCCCAAAAGAAAAAACTTCCTACTAAATTCTAAAAGGACATAACTATTTTCAAATTTGACCAAACGAAAAGATTCAATCATTTTTTGAGACGTCAGAAGGACCAGTTCACTGGACGATGCGTCAAAAAATGTTTGCAAAATTTCTTCGAAGAACACGCGGTCTGTGTCCGAAGTTACAAGGTAAAGTAATGTCTCCCTAATTGACGCTTAGATTGGTCACAAAAATGGACAACTTGGGAAGAAAAGCCTTGCGAATTCGAGCCTTGTGATAACAAGGCTCGAACAATCGTATCTCCTCTTCCAAAATTGTCCATTCTTGAGGACAGTCTGAGCGTCAATTGGAGAGACATTACTATACCCACCGCCGGATCAGTTTCCGCTCGAGCGCGAGGAGGAAACGGTCCCGCCGGTCTCGCTTTCACTCGATCAGCGTGCGATTAGTCCTCGTCAAGAACGTCTCTAATCTCGGCGAAGCGACGCGAAGGAAAACGGAGAAGAAACGTTGAATTTTCACGGGGAACAATTACTGGCTGACGTTAATTGCTCGAATCGGGAAGATCGTGGGTGGCGATAGGGTTTTACTCGCGCGCGTGTTCGCGGTCCTCTCTCGCATTCGCGGCATTCACCGTCGTAGAAAGTTCGCACGGTGCGATGTAATTACCGGAAGGCTCGTTAGAGGACGGCGTCGCGATGCCACCGATGCTCGAACATTGTCTCTCGGTTCGACCCTCTGCACTCCGCGGCCCCTTGTCCCCGCGCAGCGTTATATGGCACAGAGTGCATCGACAAAAAGCCGAGCCGCGTGACGTCGTCGTCGCATCGCGGAACAAGGTTGTCTTTCAGCGAACACGGTGTCATTGTGCCGCGCCGACGACCAGAGATCGTGTTTTCCCGGGGTGCATCTGCGTGGAACGTTTCCTTGATAAGTATTTCCATTGCGTCGCCGTCGAACAACTCAATACCCGAGTGCATTCGCCGGGGAAAAAAGAACTAGCTCGACGGGTTTCGGACCAAACTTTCAACGCGGACGAGGTATCCTTTGTTGCCGTTCGCCTCGAAGGATTTTCGCGAAGATATCGCCGTCCAGATTATTATAACATTTTGCCCCTTCGCTGTGACAAAGGTTCATTGATTTCAAAGGTGACACACATACCGCTGCTAAAGAGGAGACCCGCTGCAAAGAGGAGACTTTGCTCTCAAAATCCACGCGAATTAGAGTCGCGAGGAAAATGTTTCGAGCTCCGTACAATTCTTGAAATCTGTCGCAGAAATATCGTCGACGTTCAAACTGCAACAATTCGGTAAAGAATAGTCGTAGGACAATAAATCTGGACTCGTTTGAAAGCTACAAGCTTCTACTTTCGTTACACATGGTTCGTTTTCATGGGAACACGATTTTGCATTGTACAGCAAATGGAAAACTGGAAACACGCTATTTCGTGAAATCGATGCGGACCGAATCGTTCGCACACTGTATAATTCACACGCGAACGCAACCTCGAAGAAATCACTTATGGTAGGTAAAAGTAGAAGCTTCGCCCTGTAAAACGATCCTAAATTGATGGTTACACGATCTTTTTCCTGGAAGTTGCGTCCGCTTAAACATCAAGAATTTTCCATCCGACGTTCATTTCGATGGTCGGCCAACAATTTCGTTTTTGTCCATCGTTGTCTCGTCAATCTCGAAAATCCCGACGCACGCACATCCACGGACGATCACGATGCGGTGCGTTTCACGGCTCGTTAGACTCGCCAGCTGCGAACGCGTACGCGGAAACAATCATAGAAAGTTCGCGGTCGTTACGATGGGAGAACAACGCGTTGTTCCGCGATCGGGGCTCGGATCCGATTCGCGACATCTCCCAGACGTGCGCGAATAATTGGACAACGTTTCCGTTCATCGTGAATTTTCGATGGAGATCCTGACCGTTCGCCGATCACCTTTTGTCGCGCGGAATAATAGACTCGCCGCGGCGGCGGGCCGAGCGGTGCCGTGCCGGAAATTAGCGCACAAAGAAGCACGAGCGAAGTTAAAGGCGGCACCGTCGCAAAAATAGCCGCTCGTCGCCTATTAACGTCCCGTAGAACAAGTGCTAAGCATAATTGCCGGAAGAGAGTGATCAAAGTCTCTTTGCATTCGAAATGCTCGGAGGGTACGAGCGCATTGAGCTTGCAAATTAGCCGGGGACCGAACGGATCGCCACGTGTCGCCGCGATGATCGCGCTGACCCCTCGCGCTGAACCCATTTCCTTGGAAATTATTATAGCCCGCTCGCATGAAAGCGACCCCTTCTTCCGGAAATATCTGCAGCATTTATCCCGGTTTTTTGTCCCGATCGCCGATCGATTCGTTCGCCTAAGAACACACAGCTCCGCGGTTGTTCATTTTCGACGAATTCGAAGCGCGGCAGGCTGGTGTCTTCTTCCTCGGAGCACCGGGCCGTGTATCGAAGACTTAAGTAACCGTAAAGGTGGAGAATATTCTTTCTCTTCTAAGAAATTACGGCGTCGTCTGGCCGACGAACTTCTCGCGGTTCGGCTTTGGACTCGTCGTCGAGAACTTCTTCGGCGCCGTTTCTAAAAGAGAAAGAGAGCCGAGAAAAAGGAGAAACGATCCTCGAACCAGATTTGTTTTTCCCGAGAAACTTTCCGGCGTGTGTTGCCCTCGGCGAGGCGAGGCGAGTCGCGGCGCGTCGCACGAGTGCTTTCCTCAGATGATCGTCGAATACGTGCGCGCACGCTGCGCTCCGATTGTGGGCGGTGCAACAGCACGTGCACCGTATGCGAATATATTTAGATGCACATGTGTGTACAGTTGCGGCAAAAAGCGAAAGACGCCGCCGCGGCAGCG